GCAACGTATGATAAAAAAAAAAGACAGAATTTCTGCTTCCAAACCCTAAAACGAAGATGGTTACCTGAAAACAGAATCAAACTCAGATTGCAGACAGAATTTAAAAAAGGTCACAGATTTCAGATTTGTTGTATATATACACGATCATTTGAGAGATCATATCCCGGAACCGCCGGAAAACAACACTCTTTGTCTTCTCTTGTTTACTACTAATCAAGAAACTATTCATCTGATCGTGACAAACTTGTTAGTCCCATGTCTAGCCCAATGGCTCTTAAGATCAATCGGATTCCCAAAGTTAAACCCATCCGACGCGAGTTTCTCAAGGACCTTCTTAAAAGCGCCTTGACTCATCTTCCTTCCCGAGATCCTCGCTCCACGGCGTTTGGTACTCATCGGTAAAGGATGCATTGATATGTTTGTGGTGCAACACGCGGATTGCCAACCGCCACATCCCCAACGGTAACATTGCTGAGGGGCTCCAGTGCAAGTGCAGATCGGAACAGGAATCCCCGAAATGTCCATACTCACCCCGTTGATCACCAAGTCCACACTTTTCTTAGCCGGTTTCACTCGCGAAACATTCGTGTTACTATTGCTGTTCTCATCCTTTGGTTTCCGAGGCTTCTTCGTCTTTGGTGTTGAACCAGCTTTTGAATTAGGCTTTCTCTTCTTAGTCTGAACAATCTCTTCTTCACATTTAACCGGGTTGTCCTCGGTTGGATGATGATGATGATGCAGATTCATCTGCATCGACGGGGCTGACGAAGTTTCGGGAAGCACATTCCCGTAATTAGGAGTGTTTGTTACAGGCAGCATGTTGAAGAACTTATCCTTCTGCTGATTAATCCAATTGTAGCTCATGTGGATTGGAGGATCCGGGTGGTATGAACCGTTTGGACCGATCATCAGATTCGGGTCACGGCCGGGTAAAAACGGTTTAGTGTTCCGATCAATATTTGACATTAGTTGCAAACCGAGATTACCTTTGAATGTAGCAGCCGCTGGTTCATAGTAACCCCAATTGCGAAATCCATCATCGTCCATTTCAAAGATCTACAAAAACGCCATTATAAAATCACAAGAAACAACATAAACAATCAGACATTCAAATCCAAAATCAGACAGAACAAGACTCAAAACCTAGAGAAACCAATCAAATCAGACCCAAGAGTTTCTGGATTATCTGTTCGAGTGCACAGAAATTAGCCAAAGATCTATTCCTGAATTTTGCAAAAAGAACATAACATTTCTTATAACCAGCAACCAGAATGTTAAAAGCATTAGATTTCGTATAAAATATCAGATCTTGGGGATACCCAGAAACAAAATTAGGGTGGATAAACATGAATGAAATCCAACGAATTCCCATAGGAAATTCCGACATGAAACATTTATTCCCGACAGCAACATGCAGATCCATTAAGGTTTCTAGATCTGGATAATCCAGAGCTAGATCTAAGGAAACTGGACATGAATCAAGGAACATCAGAACCCCCAATTGTAAGAAAATGGAAAAGTGGGTACAGTACACAAAGGTCCTATTGTAAATTGGAAAAATC